GGCACGGCATGGCACGGCACGGCATGGTGGGGAGGGGCACAGTGTGGTGCAGCATGGCACAGCTCGGCACGGTGTGGCACTGCATGTCATGGTGTTGGACGGCACAGCACGGCAAGGAGTGTCCCGGCACAGCTCGGCGCGGTGTGACGTGGCTCGGGGTGTGGCACGGCCGCGGTACCTTGGCGTACTGCTCCTTGAGGGGCCCGGAGAGGCGCAGGATGGTGCAGACGTCGGGGCCCAGCCTGCGGGAGAGGGGTCAGCGGGACTGGCACTGGCACCGGCTCCGCTCGGCCGAGTCCCGATCTCTCCATCCCCCCGTACCGGACCCACCCCTCCGGTACAGGACCCGCCCTCGGGGCCTTTCCGGCCTACGCCCCCGCCCCCGGCCCCGCCCGGTACCGGCTCCGCAGTTCCTCGGCCACGAAATCCTTCCCTGATTTCCTCTTCCCGCTCAGCAGCAGCACCGCGCGTGGCGCCGCCATCGGCGCTCGGACCCGCCCCGGCCCCGCTCCGGTCCCGCCCCGGCCCGGTGACTCCGCCCGTCCCACGGCCCCCCCTGCCGGGCGGGGCCGGCACCGCACCGAGGGGGCCCCGCAAACCCCCCTGAGACACGGCGGGCTCTGCCCCGCCCCTCAGAGCATCCCGTCCCCCCAGCACCCCTCTGCTCCCTGTGCCCTCGCTTTCCCCATTTCCTCCTCACACACCCCATTCTCCTCTGAACCCCCCTTTCTGCAGTACCTTGTTCCCCTCAACGCTCCCTCTTTCCTCCCAGCACCCCCATTTTCCCAGCTCCCCCCGACACCCTCTCTTGTCCCCGGCAACCCCCTTCTGCTCCAACACCACCTATTCCCCTCTGCCCCGTCTTTCCATCTGCACTCCCTCTCCCCCCCACCCCACTTCTTCCCCCCTGCACTCCTCTCTTCCCTCCCAGCACCCCTTCTTTGCCCCACAGCACCCTGTTCCCCTCTGCTCTCTCCTTTCCTCCTGATTCTCCCTATTACTCTCAAAACCCCCCTTTCCCCAGGACCCTCTTCCCTCAGCACCCTCCCTTTCCCTCCCATCACCACCCCCTTTTTCCCCACACCCACACAGCTCTGTCCAGTGGTGACTTTATTAATGGTGGCAGTCAAGCATCACACAGTGCATTTGGTCAGGGACCTGGCCCTACTTGGCCCTACAGGGTGCAACAGTAGCTCCCAGCCCCCCAAAAACAGCCCATGGGGGGCCCTTGCGTGGCTGAAGGCTTGCGGTGAGGAGCCACCCTGGCACAGTACAGTGCTGTCCCCTGGCTCTATCCCCCCATGCCGTGGTGCTGCGGGGCTCTCCGGCCCCACTCTTTCCCGGAGGTGCTGCAAGAGAAGGGGAGGTGGGATGGGGTGCCGAGGGGGGAAATCCCCCAGGACCCCTGGCGCCACCTGCCCCAGCTCACCCGCTGTAGTGCCGCAGCATGTACTCCTCGAAGCCATCGGCCGCTTTCTTGTCACCCCCCTCCTGCCACGCCACCTCCTCCAGCAGCTCTTCCACATCATCCACGAAGTCAACGAACCGCAGGCGGTCATGGGCAAAGACCCCGTCAGCCCCAAAGACCCCGTCCAGCCGTGCTGCCAGCCCTCCAAAGTGCCCCCCCAAGCCCAGGTGCCCCATGAAGCTCTCCAGCAGCCGCAGGAACTGCGCCTTCTGCACTGGCTCCAGCATAGCCCCCAGCACCTCCTGGCCCTCCTTGCGGGCGCAGTCGGCCACACCTGAGCAGCCCTGCGGTGCCCGGTACCGCCTGAGCGGGGGCAGCTCACGGGAGCCTTGCTGGGGGTGGCCGTGAGATAGCTTCCCCCAGCCTTTGCCTGGCTTGTGTTCCCGGGGGGGGCGGGAATCCTTCCTGTGCCCCTGGGGTTTGCCATGCTTCCTTCTCTCCTGCTCGTGCGGGGCCCCCCTGGTGCTGTGCTGCTTGTGCCACTTGCTCTCCTTCTCCACCTTGAACGGCTTCTTCCAGGGTGTAGGGAAGGACCCGGCCCCCTCCGCCTCTAGCACCTGGCCCAGGCGCTGCTCCAGGGTGCTCAGTTCCTCCACAAGCCCCTGGAGATCCCCAGAGCCCCGCACACGCTCCAGGGTGTCCGCCAGCTCCCGCCGCAGCACATCCAGCTCACGGTGCCATCGTGCCGTGGCCTTGCCGTGCGCTGGGACACCTGTGGCATGGAGCTGCTCTGCCGCTGGCCCCCTGGGGCTGCTCGGTGTCCCCGTGGCCTGCAGGCGTCGCAGCTCAGCCCGGGCGTCCTGCAGCGCGCTGACCTCCCGCTCCAGTGCCGCGCGCAGCCGCGCGTTCTCCTTGGCCAGGCCCTGCTGCTGCACCCCCGCTGCAGCCGCCTGGCCCTCGCTCCTCTGCAGCAGCGCCTGCAGCTCATCCTTGTGCGCCTGGGGCAGGGGGAGGGGACTGTGAGAGAGGTGGGAGCGGCAGAGCACCACCGGGACACAACACCAGGATGCCAGGCACCCACCTGCAGCTCCGCCTGCATGAGCCGGATCTCCTGGTTTTCCTTGGCCAGCTTGTCCAGGAGTTGGCTCATGGACTGCATGCTCTGGGGGTCCCCAGCATCTGGCAGAGGCGGCTTCTGCTGTGAGTCCTGGGGGACAGGAAGTTTGGGAGGCCTGGGGGCGCTTGGGACGTCCCCTGCCCTGACTCAGCCCTGCTCAGGATCCCTCCTTACATTGCTGTCAGTGGACAGCAGCGACTCCTGCTCTCCAGCAGCCAAGTCCCAGCTCCCCACGCTTTCCACAGGGCCTGTGGAGGAGGATGTGGGTCCGAGCGTCCAGGCTGCTGTGGGATGTCCCCCTGCCCAGGTGGGACAGTCCCACATACTCACCATCCACTGGGTCGTAGATGCCACCTGGGGAGAGAAGGGGACAATGAAGGGGATGTCTGGACCCCACACTGTCCCTGGGGCCTCAGCCACCAGGATCCCCACTCACCAGTGATGATCAGCACCCCCACAGCCACCAGTGCCAAGACGCCCAGCAGGTACTTGCTCATGCTGAGCCCATCCTCGTCACCAGTGTCCGGTGTCCTCCGGTGCGGGGCGTGCGTGGCAGTGGGGGGTCCAGGACGGGGCTTGTGGCCCTGCCGCCGCCTCAGCCCCTCTGTGTCATTGTCACTGCTGGTGCAGCTCCCGTCCTCTGTCTGTGGCCCTGATGGGGGATGGGAGGACCTCCAGGGAGGGTCTGCCTCTGAGCACTGCCCTGTGAGGTCCTGACCTGCTCTAGGAGTGCCAGGGCAGGACTGTGGCTCAGCCTCAGCATCAGGCTCCTCCTGCTCATCACCCTCCGTCACACTGGGCTCTGTGGAGCCATCTGGGGCAGGCATTGCCCATGCCCCGGGCTCCGTGCACTCCTCTGGGTCCTGCAGGCACAGGTGCTGGTGTGTGGGGTGTCCCCGTGGGGGGAGCAGCCCCCCAGCTCCCCCATCCTGGCTCACACTCCGCCCGCTGACCTCGGGGCGCAGGGTCTGGCCAGGGATGGTGGGGGCACCGTTGGTGGTCAGGGCTGGGGAGAGACAGAGCATGGGGGTGAGACGGTGGCACAGGGGGGGACACCAGGCCTGCCCCATCCCTATGGTGGCTGCCTGCCTGTGGCTGTGTCCTGGGTGCCTTCATTCTCCTCCTCCTCCTGCAGTTCCTCATCCTCAGCCCCGTGGGAATCCTGCTCTGGACCCACTGTGTCGATGGGCAGACCCTGGGGGAAGGGGGGGGACACAGGGTGACACCTTCAGCCCCAACTGTGTGCCCCACTCTGCCCACAGCCCTGGGCAGGCCGTGATGGTCTGCCCAGGGGGTCCCAAGAAGTGGGGTGCTATCCCAGGGGATCCCAAGCATCAGGGGCTGCCCTGGGGTCTCCAGCCCCGAGGGTCTGCCCCAGGATTCCCAGCCCTTGGGTGCTGCCCCAGGCGTCCCCAGGCATGGGGCTGCCAGGGATGTTGCCCTGGACATCCCTAGCAGCGGGGTCGGCCCTGGGAATCCCCAGCCCTCACCTCGCTGCCCGCCAGCACCCAGCTGCTCTCTGAGTCTCGGGAGTCCGATTTCTCCGCCATGGGGACAGCCCGGAGCCACCTGTAAGGACACGGACGGACAGCGGGACGTGACCCGGCTGCTCCCAGTACCCCCGGGATGTGACCGGGAGAGCCACGGTCCTGGTGCAAGCCAGTCTCCCAAGCGATGCCTGTGGCCGGGGACCCTCTGGAGCTTTCAGGGAGCCATCCCGGAGCACGGGCCCCGCCGCGCCACCCCCCGACCCCAGCGGCCGCCACGGGGTATTTTTAGTCGGTGATGCCGCCTGGCAGGTGCACGGGGGACGCGGGGCCCAGCGTGGGGACACGGGGGAACGCGGGGCCCGGCGCGGGGACACCGGGGGCCCCGCTCGAGATCCCACCACCCCAAAGCAAAGCAGCGGCACTGGGAGGGGGATCTCGAGCAGCCCTCGCCCTTCCCCCTCGGCCCCAGCCTCTCGGAACCCAGAAGCGGCCCGGGGGTGGAGGTGACGGCGCTGCCGGTGACATCCCCCCTCCGCTTCGCCCCACGCGGCCCCGGCCAGGCCCGCCCGCGCCCCCCGGCCCTGATACCTTCGCCCGCCGCGTCCCGCCGGGAACTTTCCCCGGGGCCGCCGCCGCCCCCGGGAACGGGGCACACACGTGACGGGAGTGGCCAATGGAGCACGCGGGGGGCGGGACGGGCGCGCGGCCCTGCCGGGACCGGGCAACATCCCCACTGCCCCACCGACACCCCCCTCGGACAGACACCGAGCCCCCTGAACCCCGCCGGTACCGGACAGACACCGAGCCCCCTGAACCCTGCCTGTACCGGACAGACACAGACACCCCTGAACCCCGCCGGTACCGGACAGACACCGACCCCCCGAACCCCCCCGGTACCGGAAGGACACCGACCCCCCTGAACACCCCCGGTACCGGAAGGACACCGACCCCCCCAGGATACTCCCCTCGGACAGACAGCGACACGCGCGTTTCACAGTTTTATAGCGACGGTACAAAAGTTTCCATTTAACGATTGGCTATAGCGGAGAGAACCTGGGGGGGCGGGGGAAGAGGGCGAGCGGGTACCGGGATCACCAGGGGTGGGCAAAGGAGTAGGAAGCACCGGGACTGCCCCGTGAATGCCCATGGGGCACCGGGACTGCTGCACACCCGAGGAAGGAGCCCCTTGAGAGGGCATGAACCAAACTGGGCAGTGCTGAGGGGCACCGGGAAGCCTCAGCCCTCCCAGGGCCGGTGCACCAGGGCCAGAGCCCTCCCCACACCAAAGGGCTGGTGATGGCACAGCCAGATCCATCCCGGGTCCCCTGGGCACTGTCCCCTGGTGGCTCCCAGTGGCCGGTGGTGTCCGGGGGAGCAGCCACAGCTGGCGGGGGAGGGGGTGACAGCTACAAAAAACAGGGGTTTGGTCCTAAGTTGGTGTGGGGAGCTGTACACAGCATCAGGAGGGCAGCTCAGCCGTCATTGGCGGCCACCAGCTGTCCCATGCCCTCCCGGATGTAGACAGACTGGATCTCCTTGGTCTTGAGGCAGAAGTCGCAGGCCCAGACGGCCGAGGCCTCGGTGGTGAGCAGCCCGTAGGCGTTCTCTGTCATGCCCGTGCACTCCCGGTGGAACCACTTCTGGCAGGAGGCCTCGCACAGGATGGCGTCCTGGTCATCGTTGACCTCATTGCGGCAGGCCCCGCATGGGTACACGAGCCCCGGGGGTGGTTGGTGGCTGGAGGGGGCTCCAGGGGCCTTCCCGGGGGGCTGCAGCGGGAGGCTGTTGGTGTCGGGGGTGCCGGTGCCACGGGTGGTGCTGCCGGGGGCAAAGCCGGGCTGTGCCCCGTTGACGGCGGCGGGAGAGCCCGAGTGCTGCTCCGGGGCGAAGGTGCTGGGCGGGGCATTCTTGCCGCCCCCCTCCTCGCCGCCTGCGGGGAAGGTGGGGTCCGCCCCGGGGAAGGGGCTGGCAGTGGGCGGCAGGGGGGGCATGTTCTGCCCGGGGCGCTGCAGGGGCGACTGTCCAAAGAGGTTGCCGGGCTGGCTGAAGCGCTGAGCCACCGTCGGGCCCCCTCCGGGGGGGTTAAGGGCCGGCCCGGGGCCCATGTCCCCCCCACCCCGCGGGGGCTGCCCCATGGTGGGGGAGATCATGGGCCCGAAGCCCGCGACGGGGCCCTGCATGAGCTGCCCCATGGGGGGGCTGAAGTTCTGTCCGAGGGGTTGGCTGAAGGGCTGCCCGGCGAAGCCTAGGCCCCCGCCCTGCACGTAGTTGGGGTTCTGGGGGGCCATGCTGAAGGCCGGGCCCATCTGCCCGGGGGCGAAGGGGGGGGGCTGCCTCCGCAGGGGCTGCGGCCCCCCGCCGTAGCCGGGGGGCACCTGTGGCGACATCCCCCCGCCCTGCACGCGGAACCCGCCGAACGGGACGGGGCTGCCCAGGAACGGGGCGGGCGCCGCCCCCACCTTGGGGGCTCCGAAGTCATCCTCGAAGGGGTTGGAGGCCACCAGGTGGTCCACCATGGGGGTGGGCGGCGGCGCGAACTCCGAGAGGTGCGAGTAGGCGGGGCCCTGCGGGGAGAAGGCGGCGGTCAGGGTTTTGCTGGGGACTCCTCCCCGGGACCCCCGGGCCCGGCCCTTACCTGCGTGTTGGACTTGCGGCGCTTCTTCTCGGGGCTCTTCATCTGCAGCCCTGCGGGGACAAGCGGGGCCGCGTCAGCGGCGGCTGGGCCCCCCCCCCCCCCTTTCACCCACCCCGGCCCCGGCACTCACCTGCCTTCCCCTGCTTGCGGCCGGGCCCGCCGGCGGCGGCGCTGCCCGCAGAGTGCGGGGGCCCTGGCGGGGGCGGCGGGGCCGGGACGGCTCCCTCCAGCTTCTCTGCGTGCGGGGCCGCCATGGCCCCTCAGGGCGCGCGCGCCGCCGCCGCCATGGCCCCGCCGGAACCGGAACCGAGCCCGCGCGGGACCAATCGCGGGCCGCGGGGGGCAGGGCGGAGCGAGCGGGACCAATCACGGCGCGCAGAGGGCGGGGCCGGACGCGCGGAGCCAATCACGGCACGCGCGCGATGCGTCTATCAACCGCCTACCCCGCCCGGATCAAACCAAGTGAAGTGCGAAGAGGGAGGGCAAGGAAACACACGGTCCGAACCATTTACAAGGGCCGGGGGGGGGGGGGGGGGGGAAAGGGCGAAAGGACCCCCTGTAGAGCCCGTGGGGGACCCCCCGCCCACGGTGATACCCTCCCCCAGCTCACACCAGCCAGGACCTAGAGAAATACCAACTTTAATATACAACCACCAGTTCCTTTGGTATAATGGGGCCAGGGGGCCCCGGGACTGCGAGGGGGGCAGGGCCGCGCTTTGGCTTGGGGGAGAGTTAGGCTGTGCATGCAGGGGGGTCTTCCCACCACCCCCCGGGGCTGCCAGAGCCGCCCGTGCAGGGAGGGGATGTCGTGGCACAAGTCCTGGACCATGAGCACGGCACGGAGGGCGGATGGGTGCGGGGGGGGGGGAGGACTCTGTCCCCAGCCCCTGCCCTTGCATAAGTGTGTGGGACCTGCGGGGTCAAGGCACAGAGTTAACACGTAAAGTGATCCGGTACAGTCGCTGTGGGGCCAGCTGGGCCTCGTGCTTGGGAGAGCTGAGCCCCCCATGGGCCCCCTTCCTCGGCCCAGGGGCCAGAGACAAGGCCAGGCTGCCTCCAGCTCAGGGGGGCTCAGACCTGCCAGACCCAAGCCCGTGCTGGAGAGCACCGGAGTGGCCGTAGCACAGCAGCAGGGCTGGGTTTTGGTGGGAGCTGAGCTGCTGTGCAAAGGGGCTGTGGAGGGGCAGGGGCTGTGCAATAGCAGCCCCCATCCCACAGACACTCACAGCCTGAGCCCCCCATGGCCACCAGTCTCATGGGGTGAAGGGAGACAGGCCCTGTCCTCAGCCAAGTCCATGCTCAGTCCTGGGCAGAGCACCCAGCAGAGTCTGAGGGCTCCCTGGGGCAGGGAACAGGGCCAGGGGGCTGTGCACTGGGGGGGCTGCGCACGGGGCCCACCGGGCGCTCACAGTCTCCTCTCCACCGGCTGCTGCAGGCACATCTCACTGCCAGCTGAGATGATGGGCAGGTGATTGTCCATGTGGTAGCTGATGAGGTGGCTGACGCTCTCGAAGCGATGGTCCTTCGTCCGCACCTGGGGCACCAGGAAAGGGGTGTTCAGGAGGCTGTCGGTGCCCACGGGGGGCTAAAGCCACCCCCCTCCATGGCACGGGCTGGGCACAGACTGCATCTCACCCCCACGCTCCACCAGGCCCTCTCCATCCCCCAAGCCAGCTGCGAATTGTCCCCTGATGAGTGGTGCAGAACCCCAATGCCCTGGTGTCTCTTTTAATGCCCCCCAGCTGTCCAGAGCTCCATCCCGGGCCCCAACATGCACTCACCACTCCCTCGGGATCGACAAGCAGCAGATGCTTGGGCTGCCCACCCTGCAGGCCAGTCAACACGTACTGGCCCGGGGTGGTGGTGCTCTCCCGCACCAGGAAGTCTCCGTTCACCTTCAGCAGCTTCTCGGCCTCTTTGCGGTTCATCTTCCCGTGGTACCAGGGCTCTCTTCTCAGCTGCTCCTCCATGGAGGCCACCACCTGAGCAGGAGGCAGCCCCACGGGCACAGACGGGGGTACACGCAGGGCATCTTCAAAGGGCTCTGAAGGGACAGAGGAGCAGGGGGACCATGACCAAGCCCGCAGCCACCCACCCCTGCCTGGCCGCAGGTGTCATCCCACTCACTCATGTCGAAGAGGTCCCTCTGAGTGCTGCCATTGGCTGTGGTTGTGGTGCCCGTGGCTGGGGCCTGGCGTGTCTTGTCCACGTTCTGCACGTTGACGTAGGATGGGTCATCAAACAGGTCCACGCGGCCAGATGTGCCCGCTGGAGCTGGGTATTTCTCTCTCCCTGCTAACCAACAGCACTGGGGTCAGTAGGTTTCCAGCCCACCTCAGCCCCCAGCTCGGGGTCCAGGGAAGAAGACTGGGACCGGGTACACCTGTCACGTTACCTTGGGCAGGAGTGTGCTGCTTCTGGGGGTCATGCTCCCCACTGGACTGGCCCACAGGCTGCAGGGAGAGGCAGTGGTGAGCCCCCACTCCCTTTCTTGCTCCCGCCACTTCCCACTCCCCACACCCCGAGCTGCCAGAAACACTGGGGAGACATATCCCATGACTCTCATGGTGGGATAACCCCAAGCAGAACCAACAGCCCAGTCAGGGTCCCTGCATCTCCCTTGTAAGATGGAGCTTTCCAAGGAGGACGTGCCCAGAGCCTCACCAGCGTGGCCCCCAAGTGATTCGGGGTCTGAGCGGCCCCATCCCGCAGCCGCATGTCCACAACCCCCCCAATGGGAGGCTCCTTGCCAGGGAAGTCATTGTAGTACTGGTGATCTGGGGCTGGTTCCTCCTCTTCTTCATCCCAGGCAGAGCCATCAAACCCTGCCATCCTGGGAAGGCACAGCACAGATAAGTCCACGACAGCAGCCAGGGCTGCATTCCCTCTCCAAAACTGATCTCAGACACCCTCCCACCTTTATCCTCCTCACACAACCCTGCCCTGACCTGTCATGAGGGGTCACCAGCTTTGGGGGGTTCTTCAGGTACTGCTTGAAGCGCAGCTCGAAGGCCTGACCGATGGTGCTGATCACGTCCTGCGCCAAGCCCTCAGGACACTCCAGGATATGGCAGGCTGGGCAGAAAACGGTGGGATGGGATTGCAGAACTCCAGCAGTGAGGTTCTTCACCCCTGAGCCTCCCCCGTACACCCCAGAGCTTCCTTAAGGGTCACCGAGCACCTCCCCCTGCACTGAGCTGGGCCTAAACACCCCCAAAATGGGGCTCTGGCATTGAGGACCCTCACCTCTCTGATTGACGGGGTCTTTGGCAACATAGGCGACATACTCAGCTGTGTCCTGTGGGTGAGACACCAGCAGTGAGAAAGGGCTGCCAGGGAGCACAGGGCCCAAAACCTCAAGAAAGGGCAGGAGAGGCACCAGTCCCTAGCAGGGAGCAGGGATGGGGACTCTGCATACTCACCGGGTCTCCCCCAGACGCGAAGGATATGGACTGCATGTGGTGGTTGGCAATGATCTGCAAGGTGGAGAGGTCATTGGACACAGCCAGGAGCTCCTGGGCACCCAGCCAGGGCTGGCATGTCCTGCTCCCCCCAGGGCTGGCCTGCCATAGGGGCTCACAAGCCTCTGAAACCCTGGTTATGAGCCACAGGCCTCCAGGAAAAGGACTGGGACATCACTAGGGCCACTGAGAGCAGGGTCAAAACCAGGAGACCTGGCCCCAGGCAGGGGGACTTGGGTCTCACAGTCTCCAGAAGAGATCCCACAAAGGACGTGGGATATTCCTCCCACCTCTTCAGCCCTGGGGCCTGAAGGGAGGTGGGCACTCAGCAAGTCACACAGCCCACCCAGAGATTCCTTTGGGAGGCTGGGGACATCCCCTGCTAGACCTCGGGAGGAGGACACGAGGATTCCTGCTAGTCCAAAACCAGCCCAGCCTCCACCCCTCCCTGCTCTCACCTGCTTGCAGTCTGAGGCCATGAGGTTGAGGCTGCTGGTGGAGATGGTCAGGGTGATGGGCATGCCAGCGAACTTCAGGTTGCTCTTGCCCAGGATGGAGTTCAGGGAGCGGCCACAGGGCTGGGGGCAAAGGGCAGGGTGGGAAGGGGCTCCTCAGGCCACACACAGCCCAGCAGGCATGAGGACAGGGCACATCCCACTGCCCCTACAGCAGAGATGGGTACCTCATCCTCACCACTGGCCCTGGCCCAAGCCACAGTGGGAGATCAGAGCCCTGGGCTGACAGCACAGCACAGCCAGCCAGGCTGGAATCTGATCCTCTGCCCCATGCCCAGCCAACCATGCACATTCCCTCAGCAGCTCCCCAGCCTGGCCTCACCTTCCTCCTCCTCACGGCTCCCTTGGCACTGGGCACAGCCTCACACACCAACCCAATGGCCTCCCTGCAGGGAGCACAGAGAGATGTCAGTCCCCCACTGCTTGGCCCACCCAAAGACCCCCCAACCACGGGACTGAGGACACAGGAACCAGCACAGGAGTGACAGGGTGACAAAGTGGAAGCCCCCCCCGGCAGTGCCAGCTGGGGAAACCGCACTGGTGTTAGTGTTTGATGGGCTGCAGCAGCCTGGCTTCCACTGAAAGCCCCACATGCCACCAGGGGCTCGCATAGGACTCACATAACCCCCCCTCACCCCTCCCCAAAAGCAGCAGCCCCTGGGGAGAGGCAGAGCTCACCTGGTGACCTGTGTCCTGGTGTTGAAATCCAGAGCCCTCATGGACTGGAGCACTTCCACACAGCCCATGTACTGGGCAAGAGAGCAAGGTGAGTTTGGCCAGCCATGGGGTTCACCCCCTGTGCTGCCAGGGAGGGGGCTGGGGCCCCAAGCTCCTCAGCTCCGCAGTGGTGACCTCCCTGGGAATCACATTGCCCACTTGCCCCCACCCTGCTGCCCTCCCCCCCCCTCCACCAAGGAGCATGCCAGGAGGTCCCCAAATCCCCATGGTGACCCTTCCCACTCTGACCCAGTCCCCAGCACTCACCCGGACGTGGTAGGAGACCCCGGGGCCCATGACCTTGTCATCAGGGTGCAGCCAGCCACGGGTGGGTTTATTGACAAAGCTGCCGTGGCGGGTCCATTCATCACCCCCCAGCTGGCCGCCTTCCACACGCGTCTTCTTCCCACAGCTCAGCTTGTTCATATCCTGGGAACAGACAGTGACAGGCCTTGCTGAGCCGGAGCTGGCAGCACCCCCTGGCACTGATGCCAGCAACCCAGGGGTCCCGGGTTCCCCTGGGATGCTGCCAGCTGAAGAACCCCGCAAGCTGAGCAGGTTGGCAGGATTGGAGAGCTTCAGATTGGCCATTTTGGGGAAGAAGGAGCAGAGGGTGGTAGGGCTGTCCTCCGACTCAGGTAAGAGCTCCCCAAGAGGCGCCGCGGCGCCAAGGGAGCAGGAGGAAGACAGGGAGCCAGGCAGAGACTGCGTGCTTGCAAGGGACTCCACAGGGGAGGACGGGCCCCCCGGGTCCCCCACGGCCTCCTCCAGAGAGGAGACAGACTCATTCCGCAGGTGGCTGTATTTGCTCTTTTGCAGGAGATCCATGGCGGAGAGAGGTGAGAAGGGCCAGGGCCGCCCTGTCCAGAGTGGCAGCGGGGTGGAGGCAGCCAGCTGGACCTCACAGGGGCCCCACGGAAAGTCTGAGCGCCTGCAGCTCCCGGGAAGCTGCCCCCAAGCAGAAGCCTCGGTTGAGCTCCACGCCAGGTCCACACCAGCCCGGCATGGCTGGCAGGGAGAGCAGGGCCCGGGGCGCTGGGCAGCGGGACCAGGGGCTGCCTGGCGCAGGCACAGCCTATCGATCGCGATCGGCGTCAGCGAGGATGAGCGGATCCGCTCAGACCAAGAGCAACGCGCCGCAGCAGGGAGGAAATGGGGCCGCAGCGGTGCCCCCGGGGAGCCGCTGGCACAGGGAGTTCAGAACGCTCTGTCCCCAGCCTGCAGGTCCTCAAGCCCCTTGCCACTCCAGCACCAGGCCGGCAGCAAATCCCATTGTCTTCATCCAGGGGCCGGATCCAGCTCCCTCTGCCCTGCTCGGTCCGGCACAGCCGCCCTCTGCCCCAGCCGCTCACTCCGGCCCCTGAGCTACCCGCTCGCCGGCCGCTAAGAGGAAATCAAAAGCATGAATATTTAAAGCTCGGAGACAAGGCTGCCACAGAGCGCATCCAAGCCCAGCCCAGCCCCGCTCCGAGCACCATCCAGGAGGGAAGAAAAAGCTCCTTCTGTGGCGGCCAGCGCCACGCAAACCCACGTGCCGGCGGCGAGCAGCCGCCGTTGGCTCGCCGGGCTCTGCCGGGGGGGAGCAGCGATGCTGAGAGGACACCAGTGCTCGCAGCTGCCTGGAATGCTGGGGACATCCAGTCCTGAGAGAGCACGGATCTCGCCTGGAGGGCCGGCCAGGTGCAGGATACAGGTGGGCTGCGCGCCGGGCGAGGCAGCATCTTAGCACGGACCCCCAGCCATGGCGGGGAGCCGGAGGGAGAGGCTGCAGCTCATTGCTGCTGCTGCTGCTGCTGCTGCTTCCCACATCCCGGCGGCTCCTCCCGGGAGAGGAGAAGAAGGGGCTGTGGCTGATTGGAAGGGCCGTGCTGACTCACGGGCGGCAGGACAGGCTCTGCCCGCGGCGGGGGCTGTGCTGGGGCTGGGGCGCAGCGCAGGAGGGGCTCCCGGCGAGGGGTGGGGACCCAGCGCCTATCTGGAGCAGAAAAATCAAGGTCACAGGCAGAGCTAGCAGGAGCATGCCGGGGGCAAAAATTGGCCCCTTCAGCCACGGGGAGCCAGGCAGGGCTCCCACCTGTGGATCAGAGGGCTCAAGGGCAGGTCTTCCCTGTTCCCCCATCTTTGGGGTACTCGTGTGCAGCAGGAACTCAGGTCAGCCTGGCCGTGCTGTCCTCTACAGCCTTGGCCCCACCGAGGAATAAGAGCTCTTCCCCCTCCACCACCTGTGGGATAAGGTAGCGATTTCAGGCAGAACCAACCCCTGACACACCATGGGCCAGAGCCTTCCCAACCACTACGTGCTCTGTAAAATGGCCACCAAACTAAAACCGGGTAAATCCAGGCCAAGGAAAGGGCTCTCCTGGCTTTGGAGCCCTCGCCCAGCACTGCTCAGCACTGGCAGCTGCCCTGTCCCACTTCCCAAAGCCTGGCACACTGCCACAGGGATAGGGAAAGGAAAAAGCCAGGATGCAGCTGGAAATTGCCTCCTGCACGATGCAAGGGGCTATGGCTCGTGACAGTGGGTCTGTCACAGCAGCATTCCTGGGCCACACACACCAACTCCGCGAATGCCAGCCCCCACCTCAGCCTGGGGGTCCCGTGGGCACAGGGAGCTCATGCCGGCCGTCCCACACAGTGCTCATCCCCGCCAGGGGCCCCTGGCCAGCGCTGTGACCTTCCCGTGGCCAGCAGCGCCACTGCTCTAAAGAAAAGCAGGAAGCCTGGGGCCAGGGAGCCAGGAAGCCTCCCGCCCGGTGAGGGGCCAGCACAGCCCCGGTGCCAGGGGAGCCCAGCTGGGTGGTGTCAAATGGCTGCGGGGGCAGCAGGGTTTGCCCACAAAGGGCTGGCCACTAGTGGGTGTGGGGCTGGGGTCAGCCAGCACAGCAGCTCCACGGGCCCTGACACTATCCCAGGGCCTGCCAGGATTAAGAGCAGAAGGGAACTGCCTGGGGGCAGGAGCGTCTCCTTGCCCCCTTCCCACCACCTCAGGGCCTGGAGCCACCATCCCTGCCAGGCAGCAAAGGGTTGATGAGCCCCACAGCCACAGCCCCTGCTCAGACACACCTCTGCTTTTATAAGCTGGAGTAATTCCTGATTTTCTCAGGACCTTTGAGGCCAGCCTGCCTACATCACCTGTGGTGATGTGACAAGGTGCATTGCTGCTCCCAGCCCTTGGAGACCAGAAGTGCTGCCACCACAGTCCCTCAGCCCCAGAGTTCACCCCAGGGCATCAGAGCCCTCCCTCCCAGTGGGCTCCCAGCGCAGAAGGCAAACCTGGAGGCGTGTGGAGATACAGAAAACCTACCCCTGCCTGAGCAGGCAGCCCCAAGCCCCATCCCCTTGCCAGGCAGGCAGCAGGAGTTCCTGCCCCTCCGGCAGAGCAGCTGGAACAACTGTCCCCAAGAAAGCTGCTCCATGTGCCCTGCCACCACAAAAAGACACTGGACTGTGAGAAACAGAGGAACGTGGGCTACTTTCAGGCACCTGGGACTGGGACTTCCAGCCAAGGGCAAGGAAAAGAAGCAGAGAGGGCACGCTCAGGGCCCCACTACCAACATCCTCCCAGGAAACACAAACTGGGAGCTGAGTCAGAGACCTGGAACACGCCAGTGGTTTGGCAAGAAATCGCAGCAAGGAGCGGGCGGCCACACGTACAAACCTCACCCCTGGGCAGGAGACCCCCCTCTGTCCAACCACAACCAAACTCGAGCCTCCAAGACAGGGAGGAAGCAAAGGAAAACACTCAAATCCAGCCAACAGCTGATTTTTTTCCCCCTCAAATATCACACCTGCAGCACACGACATCTAACCTCTCCTTCGCTCTGAGGAGGGGTTGGGAGACGCCAGTGGAGACCCGGGGAGGAGGCTGGGGCCCTCCCAGCAGGGAGAGAGGGCAGGCAGGATCCACCACCGAAGCCACCTAGTCCTCCACCGAAGTCCTTACCACGTACTCCATCGCTGGCAGAGGGCAGGGCAGGCCCCAGGCAGGGAGCAGAGACGCACAGCCCCTCTCGTCTGGCACTCCGACCTGCGGTTCAGGGACAAACAGGGAGTTAGCCAGCCCTGCCCCAGCCTGCCAATGCAGGGGCCTTGGCACCGGGAGGCAGACCCTGCTCCTCCATGCTGACCGCAGTCGGATGGGGCCGTGGCAGCTGTGACAACACGCTGCTGGTACAAAGGACGAGAGAGCCAGGGAAGCTACCTGCTTCCCATCAGAGGGAAGACAGAGCTGAGATGCAGCAGGGCAGGAGCACGAGGCTAAGCCTGGCTCTGCTGAGGCCTTACCCACACTGGCAAACAGTGTCAGGGGCCAAGAGTCACTCCATGACCTGAGACAAGTGTTGGAGCCGATCCCTGCCCAGCCCAAAAAACAGTGCCCGAAAGCCACACGGAAGGAGGGAGAGCAGAGGCAGCCCGGGGGGCAGAGCTGTCCCCTCCTCCACCCCTGATGCAGAATGACACACAGAGGGCTGTGCCCCTTCCTCCCAGGAGAGCAGCAAAAAAGGGACTCCTGGAAAGAGGCTACAAGGGGGGAGCTGGGAGAGGCAGCAAGGTCTGTGAGGGGAAAACAAGGAAAGCAAAGCAGCAGCTCCAGAGCTGCTGCTCTTCCTGTTCCCACCCCCACCACCCAGATGAGGTCGGGACAGCCAAGCAGTCTAGGGCAGCAGAATGATTTACAGCCCAGCAGCAATCACACCCTTATCTGGAGCCCAGGCAGGCATTGTGGCCATTTGCTCAGGAGACAGTGAGATAAGAGGGCCCTGCCTGGCACTGGAGATCAACCCCTGCAGCACCACGTCACATCCCTCACTGCTGAGCAGAGGTGGTGACTGGGCCCTTGGGACACCAGAGGCCGAGGCTGGTGGCAGGGAAGGAGTGTCAGAGCCCTGAACCAGGGTGCTCAGCCTTGCCAAAGCTCACTGGCAACCCTCCTGGAGGGAACACTGCTCTGAGCAGCTCCTGAGGTGGCCCATCCACAGCATTCCCCCACCAAAGGGTGGGTCCTCGTGCCCCACTTGTCTGGGAAGGGATGGCATCTTTGGCCCCTCTGCCCCAGGCTGAGCCCAGGGCGGCCCCAGGAAGCACTGCCAAGAGCTGCCCTTTGGCCAGAGGCTTCTGCCACACCAACGTGATGAGCAGGGCCCTGGTGATGCTTCCTCAGAACCCATGTCTGGAGTCTACTCCGTGTGGGTGGCCCCATCCAAGGATTTCAAGGGGAGAGGCAGGAACAGCCTACAACAGATGGACACAACACAGCGCTGGGGAGCAGACAAAGGTCTGCAAAGGGGGACAGTCACCCCTGCCCACAACAGCCCGGTCTGCTCAGGGAAGTCACCCTGCCTTGGTCTGAGGCACAGAAGGCAGGGCGGCCAAGGAACCCTCCAAACGCAGCCGTTGACCCCATCCCGGAGGTCCTGCCGGTCCAGGGCTCGGGGGTCTCCCCAGGTCCCCCAGCGCCCCTGGAGCTGCGTCCCTCCCGTGTCCTGCACCAGCACGGCACAGGGCGATGCGAGCTCGAGCCCCGGGCACACACGGCAGCCACCACGCCGGGTGGGTCACTCCGGGACCATCCCGGGAGCGCGGCACAGCCCGGCACCGGCACCGCCACCTCCATCCCCGGCCGGGCCTCGTACAGGAAGGTCGGGGCCTGCCCCGGGCTCGGCTCCCCCGCGCCAGGAACGTGAGGCGGCTGGGAAAGGAAGGGCGGCACTGGGAGCGGCGGCAACTCGGGAGGGTGGCGGCAGAAGGGCGGTGGCGGCGAGCGGTGCGGACTCAAGTCCCGGGCGGGCACCGCGGGGCCCTGGGCCTATGGCGGCCTCGGGCCGCGGGGGCGCTTGCGCGGGGGGGCCCCTCCACCCCCGCCCCGCCCCGCCCCGGCCGGCGCGCGCTCACCGGGCACCATCGGCCTCGCGCGGGTCTCGCGCCGCCGCTCCCCCGCCGGTGCCGCTCCTGCGCGCGCCCCCCCACCCCGTGCGCGCCCCCGCCGCCACTCACTTCCGGCCCACGCGCGCCACGCCCCCGCCGGTCACGTGACCTTACCCAAGCCAATCGCGGGACCGCGCGCCGGCCCGCGGGATGTGCCGCGCGCGCACGGGCCAATGGGCTCGTGCCCCGCCCCCCCGCTAGGCGGTGCCGGCCAATGGGAGCGCGGGGCGGCGGCGTTTGAAAAGCGCCCCAGGAAGGGGGGCGGGGGAGGAACTAACGGCCGCTGGGGGGGGGCGAGGGGGGCGCAGAGGGCCCATCATGGCGCACAAACAGATCTACTACTCCGACAAGTACGACGACGAGGAGTTCGAGTACCGGTAGGGGAAGGGCCTCCCCGGGGAGCGGGGGGGCCTGGTAACGGGTGGTTGGTAAGGAGGGAGGGAGCTCGGTTACGGTTTCCCGCGGGGACGGGTGAGGGGAGGATGTCCCAGTAACGGTGCACGGTGGGGGGAGAGGCCGTTAAAGGCTCGCTGGTGGAAGGGGGGTGGTGGGCGAGGTGCGGCTGCCCTGTGGAGCAAGCGGGA